GTTCTCCTGTAGATCAAGACTTGGGAAGGAAGTTTCCAAAATTAAAATAAATTATGTTTCTTGACTTCAATATACAAAAAATAATTGCATTTGGCATGAAAAGGAGTTGAAAAAAAGCGAAGAGCAAGTACAAATATTCCTGTATTGTGCACGGATGATGGAAAGAGCTCCATAGAAAGAAGAAATCCCTTTTTATAATATATAATAGTGAATTTATAATGGTTTTTTTTTTTTTTTACTTTTTGGAAATACAAAATGCTGAGAACCCCTATCCTTTTTGGGAGAAAAGAAAGTTTTGGATGACAGAATTGTTGTAGAGAGAGTATACTTGTGTACATTGCTCTCTTCTCTAAAGTCCAGGATGTAGAAATATTCTATCTTTTTTGCATTGTTGTTGAGTATAAATTGGAACCTGATAAAAGAATGGATAATAGAGAAGCAGCGGAACAAATATAAGAAGGGCAATCAGCCAGTTCGTGGCCAAGAACTTGAATTGAAGGGTACACCTTGAAAATATGTTCCTGGTTCTTCTCAGATCAATATATTGTGTAATTTCATGACAAAGCAATGACCAAATTCCCAAGGAACACAGAATTCACAAACCATTGTATAAAAGGAATTTGTGCACAAATCCAGCAGAGATTTAAAATATTTACAGATACAAAAATAAAGACGTAAAGAGAGAGAGAGAGAGATTAGTATTTCTTCCCAGTGAAGCTTGTGTGAGGACTGTTCTTAATCAAAATTGAAGTTAGGAGAGAAGAAAAATCTATACCTGTACTTTGTTCTTTCTCAATGCATTACCTTCATAACAGTTCCACTGTCCTTTGACTTGAATGTACAAAATCGGTGTTCATAATCAACCAGAATATTCTGTATTGAAAAAATATATATATATTCTTGATGTATATTGTATTGTACAGTATTATGTTTATATTACAGATTGCTTGCGAATACGCGTACCACAGATGTTTAAACAGGGACGGATGCAAGACTGTATTGGGATATTATTTGGATGCGTGTGACGAAGTTCAAGTTGGCCAAACAAACGAGTGTTCCGTTAGTTGCAGACGAGCCCTGGTTGGGCTCATGTCAACTGAAGAAGGGAAACTGTTCCTGCAGGTTGT